GGTCGCTGCCCTGGAGCACCCCTCCCTGCAGCCTCCTGGCTGACCAACACCCTCCTCTGACCAAGTTCAAGGAGCCGCGAACCGAAGGAAACTCCGACGGGTGGTGCCACTGATGTGCCCCCTTCCCAAGCACAGCTGCCCTTAGACCACTCCAGGCGGGCGGCTTCTGACCTCAGCGAACCTTCTTCTGCCTGAGCAAGATGTTGCCATGACTCCCTTTCACGCTCCACGCACAGTCCTTACAATCATAAAGCTCATCTCTCTCTGCTTTTAAAATCACACTCAGGGCCCTTTAGGGTAATGTTTAAGATCAGATTTTCCACCCCCCGCCCAGCCCTCCTTCCCTCCGTCCACCCCGCTCTGTGCGTTAGACCGAGGGTGTTACAGATGCTACGACGAAGGGGTTAGAGGGACCTCTTCCAGCCGCTTCTGGCCGGAGAGGCAGGGGGGTCCCTGCACCACCAAGGGCGGGGCTGAGGAGGGGTCCAGGCAGCGCTGGACTCAGGCCCACATCCCCGAGGTCGGGAGCAGCGTACTGTGGGACACGACATGTTACCTTCTCTGAGCCCAGCTCCCCGTCTACAAAGGGGGCGTCAGTGCCCACGGGAGATAATCCCGGGGAGGATGAAACGAGACTGTCCCTGTCCTGTCCCCTCTCGCGCCCCCGCCCTGTCCGCCTCGGCGCTCTAGCCCAGGAGAGCCTGCAGATGCCGACCCTCGCCCACTGTCCAACCTCGGGATCCAAAGAGCAGCTCCACACCAGCTGTGGAAGAATGACGCCCTCAAAGAGAGCACATGAATGAGAAGGTCTCGCCCTTGCTCCACTGGCTGCCAGCTTTCCCTTTTACTGTGCGGCTTTCACACCCTCCTTCCTTCCAGAAGCTACTCCACCATCCAAGGAAGATGGCTGTGGTCTCTACAGCCGGCTGGCAAGCTCCCCCAAAGCTGGTTTTGCTTTAAGAAACGTAGGACGGCTTGCCTAGGCTGGGAAGGGACAACTGCTTCTCACCGTATGCTCGACGTGGCCCTCGGGGGCCCCTCCACTGCACCCAGGCTGGGACACTGGTGTCTACAAAGTCATGGGCCCGACAGCAGAAGAGCCAGACTGCTCCACGGCGGACGGGCTGTCTGTGGAGATACCACCCCCGCCGGGGTCCTGTTCTGACCCGATTCCCGAGTGAGGGTCTGCATACAACATGGGTGTCTGGGACCCGCCCATGGGAGTTATTCCCAGCAGCCCAGAAGAACCCATGAAACAGCCTCACTGTAGGGCCCCTGGGCGCTCGTCTCTGCGCTGCCTCTGAGCCCCGACGGCCCTCATCACCAGCCCAGGCGAGCTGTTCCCCACTTGATCTCTGCGGCGGTTTCCAGCACTGACGTTTTAGGGCTTGATTAGGACGAGCTAAAGGTGATGCGAGGGGCAGCAGAGGTGTCTGCTCTCCCGCAGGGTGTGGGGTTAGGACGGCCTCCAACACGATAACTTTGGGTCCAAAGTAAGAAGGGAGTCGGGAAAAAAGCCGTTGCTAGTGTCTTTCTCACGCCGTCTGACCGGGTGCTGGTGGGACGCTGTCTCAGGACTCCAGGCGTGTGGCAGCCATGACCACGAGGAAGTCCAAGGAAAACTGATTGTACTGATTAAATTGTAAAAGAAAAAAAAAAAAGCTCAAATAATGATGCACGTGCCCTTGACACGTATACCGTGTAGACCAGTGATGTTCAGATCACTGCTCTCGAGCCCCACAGGACCCTCCGTGGGCAACCTGCTGCTCTCGGAGGCCCTCAAATCTCCGTGCGTCAATAACATGCAACCCCAGACGCCGCAGGGCGGCGGTGGCCACGCGGCTCTGCTGGCGAACGGTGATTGCAGAGGGGCTCCTGCGAACAGAACTGAATACGCTGGATAAATACTTAACCTGCTTATAACTCAAGTGTTTTGGTTCCACGGTCTGTCTTTCCCAGGTTCATCTGCACAAATGTCTCTCTTGGAGGACTGGGGCTGCACTGAAATGGTTTTAACGACATGAGAGAGAGATTCCCATATGCACAGATACTTAATCCATGCATTCTTTGGTCTTGAGGAGGAGAAAGAAAGAAGAGAAGAAATTCCCGTTCCATGAGGGCAGGGATTTTTGAGGACTTTGTGCATCGCTATATCCTCAGGGCCAGAAACAGCGCCAGACACAGAGCAGACCTTTAATCGCTTGATGGATGGATGGGTGGGTGGAAGGATGAATGAACTGAGTGTACTTTAACGTATTTTTTATATAATTTACTGGCCAACTCATTGACTCTAATTACTTAGAGAAACACCTCAAACGATGCCCTCTCTCTGCTGCCTTCCCGAGCCCTGTTCTTTCTACGGCCACAGTGGTATCTGTAGCTCTTCCTCGAAAAATGAATAACTGGGCTCCCCGTGGGTGAGCTCAGCTACCACGTAATGACGTGTCACTGAACTGTGTCTGCACTGGAGCCACCCTGTGCCACCAGCGCCCGACAGCTGGCATTTCCTAAGTGCCGATGGGGCTCCTGCCTGGGGCACAAGCACGAGTGTCCAGAGCCATTGGTCAAGAGTGATAATACCCTTTTCCCTCTTTTCTCAAAAGACGACTTAATTTTTGAGCTGAAGACAACTGGCAAATACACTGTATTGTAATCTTTTAGCAATTTCAAAGGCAAAGGCACTACTTTGATAGAAACGCATACCATTAGTAGCGGCATTTCTTCCCTTGTATTTGTTTCAAAGGGCAAACTACAAAGTTCTGAAGATCAGAATATAGTTTCTGAGCCGCGGGCCTACCTTTTCTGTGGATCTATTAAGCGGCCAGTCCCTTAACAAGCCCGTCTCGTCCACTCTGCTCTTCTTTTTTTGGTTTGTTTTTTTTTGCGGTACGCGGGCCTCTCACTGTTGTGGCCTCTCCCGTTGCGGAGCACAGGCTCTGGACGCGCAGGCCCAGCGGCCACGGCTCACGGGCCCAGCCGCTCCGTGGCACGTGGGATCCTCCCGGGCCGGGGCACGAACCCGCGTCCCCTGCATCGGCAGGCGGACTCTCAACCACTGCGCCACCAGGGAAGCCCCACCCTGCTCTTGACCGGACTTCCCTGCCGCCCCAGGCTCTGGACAGGCCTCCTGGCTCCATACCCAAGCGTCTCTCATTCAGTTCCTCACGTGCCTCTATTTTATCCTCTGTCTTGTTTTCTTAGATGCCCAGTCCCTGGCCCCCTCCCCCTAGAACCGGCCCGCCACCATTTCCACGACGGAAGGCGGCAGGGGCTCCGTTCCGTCCTCTGAGGCCAAGGCTGAGGATGAGAAGCAGACCCCAGGCTCCTCCAGCCACCAGGGACAAGCGCAGGGGAGGGACGCCAGGCTTCAGACTGACTTCATCCACATAAGGGCTCATGAGAACCCTGGCAGAGACTCTGTCCATCGGGGCGGGCGGTACACTGTGCTCTTCCCAGAGCTCGGGCAGAAAGAGGGGGCAGATGGGCCTCGTCCACTCGATCCGCTCCAGCAGCAAAGAATTCTCCATCAGGGCAGGACGGGGAAGCAGCACACCTGTCCTCAGAAAAGAGCAGGATAACCGTGTCTCTGTGGACGGCCACCGAGTGCTGCGCGGGCAGTGGACACACAAGTTTCTACGAACATGTAAGAGACACGTTCCTGCCATCCGTGGTGAGCTGGGCTCCACCGGGACCAGGGTGCAGACCGGAGCCCACAGCCCGCTCCTGTGCTTCGCAGCAGGTGTCGACGAGGCTGCCAGGCTAGCTCACTATTCACACACGGCTGGGTGCCATGGACCATCCCCCATCCATGATCCGTCAGCAGCGGAATGGACGCTGCCGGCGTCTTTCCAGGAAGATTCTCAGCAGCATCGCCGCTCACCGTTCTAATCCACCCAAGGCCTTGTCCAACTTGCAAAAACTCCTTAGCAGAGCGTGAAGGCCTCCTTGTTACCAGTCCCTGGCTGTGTGTGTGTTTTAATTTTGTGTTCATTCCTTGAGCAGAGTTATCGGAAAGCAAGTCGTGGAAGGCTGTATTCAATCCGTCTCTGAAACGATGGAGGCGGGCCTGCTCTCTGCTCACATCCAAGTCGTCTTCCTTTTCTCTCCACCTGCTCCCCCTCCTAAATTCCCACTTAGAGTTCAGGTATCAACAAGCAGGGACACGCAGAACCCGGCCAGGGGGCATGAACACAACCGGCAGAATCTACGCCCACGCACGAGGCCACTGTATCTGCACGTGCGTCAGGATACACGTGCACACACGCGTCCTGCGCCCTCCTGGCCTCTGTCAGGACACAGCGATGGACACCCTGCTTCCCCGTCAGCCCCCGGAGCCTCAGCGGGTCTCTCTCCTCCCTCTGGGCCTGGGAGCCTTTCTAGCTTCCCCCGCTTATCTGACTGACCCCGCTCAGCAAGCATCTCGGCTATTTAACCTGCTTGGTTCCTTGGTCAGAAACGTCCCGATTCAAATGTGCGCAACCCAAGGAAGGGGGCCCGCAGGAGAACAGAGGGGTTGGGGTCAGTTTCTAAAACCTAAAGCTATTCTACCAGTTTCCTCCGGGTTTCCCCAACCTCCCATTTAGCACCTTCCCAGATCTTTGAATCTAGCCTCCTCGAGAGAACCTTGGGCTCTTTTCCCTGAGAAAGAACAGTGGTCCTTGGAAGAGGAGTGGGGGAGCCTGCTTTCCGGTGGTCGTGGGGGAGATGGTCCCGTCTGAATAAGCCTGGAGCAGGACTCCTGCCCCGGCCCAGGGAGCCGGAGCTGGGAGGAGGATGTCGGATTTAAAACCAAGAGCCCGACTGAGCAGTTTCCCCCGTCCCGGGACCAGAGGCTCTAGGATGACTATAGCAGGCTTTGCTCCACACGTGGCACTGATTTCTGAGAGCAGAGAAGGACGGCCACCCACCAGACCGGTGTGGCTACAGGGGCCGCACCGTCAGGACGGGGGGAAGCCCCCCGCCTCGCCCAGACCCCAGCCCCAGACGGGGAGGCCGCTCACTGTTTCGGGGTTTCTCCTCGTCCAAGCCCTCGTCCTCGTTCTCGGGGTCGATGTCCTCTGCCTGCGTGATCCAGTCCAGGTAGCCCTTCAGGTCCTCTTCCAGCTGCTGCTTCTCCCGCAGCTTCTGGAAGTCGCCCCGGGCCTTGGCCTTCTCCCTCTCTTTGGAAAACTCTCTGGCGAGAGGGCGGAGGGACAAGAAGAACAAAGCATTAATTGCTTCGCTTTGGAAGCCAAGGGCCACACCTGCGCTGCACAGACTGCTCCCCCTGCCCCGGGTCTGATCTGCTCTCGCGAAAGAGGACGGAGTCACTGGGGCGGGGCGCTGCCTGACTCGGGACACGACTGTGGGGTGGACCAAATCCACTGCCCTTCTTCCTGGGCCACGATGGCAAGCTCTGCCTCTTCATGACAAATGTTCTCCAATGACCTGGAAAGGCCTTCCGAGCAGTAACCCGGCGGGACCCCCGCCATAGCCCCGGGAGACAAGGACCTGGGGTCGAGCTGAAGCCCAGTCCCTGCACTGGCTCTGCCAACCCTGATGCCTCCTCGGTGGCTCAAAATCAGCCACGGTGGGGATACGTACACCGCGGAAATCGTCAAATGTTACAAACCAGGGCTTTTCCCTGCAAAGAGCCAGTCGTTAATGTTTACCAGGACACCACTGATGTCAGGCCCAGGAGACCTCACCTCCTCACCCCCCACTCTCATTTCTAGGGTTCGTTCTGCCGCGTTCAGCAAGCCTGGAGGGGTTTCTAATCTAGAGAATGTCCTTTCCCACATGAAGGGAGACAGAAGAGGATTCCAGACACAGGAAAATGTCCTGGGGGGTGCCCTTCGGGTTAAAAAGGAAATCTAATCAGAACGGAAAAATACATAAAATCAAGATGATATAAAAGTTAAATGAGGTGTTCAGTCTAAAGCAATGATGAGTAGAAACTAAAATTAAGCCGGGATTTGCTGGAAGAGCTTATTGAAAAATTTTGGAGAGTGTCTGTTTCTTTCCTATTTTCTATGATTCTGTCCTTGTTTTCTCTCTGACCTTGAATTCACTTTCTGAGCCAGGAGGGACCTGACGGCCAAGAGGGGAGTCAGGGAGGCTGGTTCTCACTCTCAAAGCAAGTCTGTGCCTTTTCTTCTGAAACAGATAGGAGCAGCCTGCCTCTGACCTCCAGTCCCTGGGAAATGGGGCTCCTGGTGTGTGTGTGTGTGCGTGTTGGGGGGGATTCTTGGCTTCTTCCTAGAGACGTGACTCCTCCTTCCCTCAGCAGTTGAGGCCTAGTTCAGGGTGGGAGGCCACAGAGTCCACCTGAAAGGGATTCCTTGCACGAGACAGACACTCCATGGAAGGGCCCCCTGGAGGGAAGGACACACCGACAAGCCATGGGGCAGGAAGGCTCAACCCCGGAGCCCCTGCGCCCACCGTCCAGGACCTGCATTCAGTGCAGCCGCGGCAGGAGCACAGACCTCAGCCGCGACGCTTTATGGTGAGGGTCGGGCCGGGAGGGGTCTGGGGGACGTTTTCACCGGGAGCCGTGGCTCCTTTGCTACGAGTTCTCTTTGCTGCTTTGACGACGCTCTGGTTGGGATGGAACGTTCTTCTTCACTTTGATTGACTCCAGTTCGAATCGGACCGAACTTGCTCTTTCTTGGGCTTCCTGGCGGCTGGCGGCACCGTCCTTTCCTTCCCGGGGCAAAGGGGCTGCACTGACAGCCGACAGTGTGGATGGAGGCCTCGCCTCCACGGCAGATGGGCCCGGAGAGAGTCCCCAGCCCTCCGCACCCGCCACTCCTCCAGGGGCTGCGGTTCGCCACCCGGAGAGTCACTTCACGGAGCGGGACCCCCCTGCAGCCCCCAGACTGCAGCTCCAGGTGCCCCCCAACTGCCCTTCCGCCTCCACACACTTGAGAGCTCCATGCCTCGTGCAGCGGGTTCGGGTGGAAGGGTGACTGAGGAGCTAAGAGGCCGTGCTTCTCCTGGAGCTGGGATCAGACCAGAGCCGGGAAAGCCGACCCAGCCGTGCGTCATAGCATCTGCTCCGCGGAACGAAGTCTCGCCACCCGCAACCCACGACCTCTGGGGGCCAAGACAGACATCCGGGAGAAGAGGAGATGAGGTTTCCTGGGGTGCGAGGGGCTTCGAGAGGCAGCAGAGCCAGGAACCCGCGGAGCGTGGGGCACAGCCTGGCCCAGGCCGGGAGGAGGTGAGGGGCTCCCTCTCCGGGCTCCACGCAGCAGGGACGTGCAGGGCAGCAGCGCCCCGCTCTCTTCGTCTCCTCGCTGGACGTCCCACGCGGCCTGGGCCCAGGGGCTGGAGCCGGCTGCCCGGTCAGTCGTGGCGGGTCTGCGCGAAGGCGGGAGCACGTCCTGTGCGCGCAACGGCCGACAGGACAAACGCGGTGGAGAGCCCGGGCCGGGTGCGCACTTGGACAGCTCGCAGGGGGTGGCCGCGCGAAGGGTCCGTCGGCGCAGCGGCTGGGCTCCAGGCCCCGCGGTGACCGGTGTGGCTGGTCCTCGTCACCCACGGACTCCGCGTCTGCAGACCCGCCTTCCCGCTAGGCCTTCCTCGTCACGCCATCCACCCTGCGAGCTTCGCAGTCGCCGCGAACGCGCAGAAAGGCAGGACCTGGGGTCACGTTCCCGGCTGAAGTTGGACGAGGGGCCGCTCGCCTCCTTGGTGGTGCAGCTCATACTGTGAATAAGAGTCTTTTTACAGCCCATTTCCGCATTTTGTGCTTTCCGTTGGTGATTTTTCTGATTAAAACGTCCCCCGAGCATGGAGCCGCCGTGCAGTCTGTGACCCTAAGGGCACGAGGACTGGATGGTGCCTCACGGGGCAAGTCCGTGTGTCCGACAAGCGGAATCCAGGCCTGAGTTATGGGCTGTGGGTTGAGAGCTCGGTGCGAACGGATCAACACGGTGCCTTGAACGAGGCGACTTCACACAGATGCTTGTGTACTGACGGCAGTGTCGTGTCCAGAGCCTCGCAGGAACTTAACCCCACATCCCCTGAGGGCAGAGGCCAGTGTTCCCGAATCCAGGGCTGGTGGGCACTCCGTGGAACAAGCCTTCCAGGAATCACGCGCCTCTCCCCTGCTCCAGCCACGAGGCAGTGTGCCTGGGCAATTCTGCTTCCTCAGGACCTGGATGGAGCGTCTCAACTGTGGCCCGTGGTCAGGGATGCTTTCAGGTTGTAAAATGCCCATCCTCAGGCCCTCTGCCCCATCTCCCCGGGGGGACAAGAGCTGGGCGCCCACCCTCTAAGAGGTCCCGGGCCCCTTGTCACCTGAAGACACACGTCTTCTGTGTTTGCAACCACTTAAAACCAAAAAGTAACCAGAGTCCAGGGTCCAGGGACTTTCACCCGATGGCTCCTTCTAGTGCAGCTTCCAGAATCTTGTGGCTGCCGTCGCTGTAATTCTCATGGCTAGAGGCTGAGATCTCTGGAGGGGGAGGTCATATAATCTGGTTCTTATCTGACTAATATCATTACTATGACATGTGAGGATCAAGAGATGATGACCGTGGAAGCGTTTGGAAAAAATCCACGAGATGCGCATTTACATGGACGCCTCCAGGCTCAGCAGGAATGGGTTTCCAGACAAAGGACGGCCGTCCCTCTGATGACCAAAATCTCTGAATTCCGCCTTTAAAATGGAGGCTTTGCAGAGTGTCGCTCCCCCTGCTTTCCCGAGCAGACGACCCCAAGCACACCTGAGCCCCTCCCCGGTGACAGCAGGGTGTGGTTCATGAGGACAGTTCCCGTGCTGGGCTCTGAAACGATAATAATACCCTTAACTGGTGGACGCAGGGTGTCGGACCCCAGCTCCAAATGCTCCAAGACTGCAGTGCTGCTGGGGGAGCTCTGTTCTCCCTCGAGGGCTGTTATGTCTGCAGGGCCGCTGGCCCCCAGCTCAGGACCTGTCCGCAGCCTTCGGGGCTGGGGCTCCCCAGCTTCCTCTGGGACCCCTGGGCTGGTCTCCCTGTCCTTACTGTGGCTCCCGCCCGTCTCCTCCCAGGTCTTGGCTGTCATCTGAGGACACGGGATTAACCAGGCTGATGGGCTTGGGGACGGTGGAGCCTGGGGGATGGGGACAGAGGCCGTGGGTCCACATTGCGTGGGTTGAACCTCGGATCTTCCAGGCCGCACCGGTGAGAACTGGGGTAGTTCCTGCACGTAACCTTCACTCTTCTCCTCTGTGCAGGTGACACCCGCATGGCCCCAGCGCGCGGGGCTGTCGTGGGCGGCAAAGGAGTGCATCCACCGAAGGCGCCGAGCCTGGGGCCTGCCGTCGAGCTGCTGACCGTTGACACCACCCTGAGACGGGCCTTCCGTGAGCGCTGAGAGGTTTCCGAATGCTTCTGGAAGGCCGACCGCCGGGTGAATAGGCGTACGGCTGTGCTCCAGGGTAACGACCACACTGCTGTCCGGACTTCTCGAGACACGGCGAGCACCACGCGTGCTCAGCCGACGGCAGCCTGGCTCTGGGCCTTCTCACCGCGTGGCCAGCCCTCTGGACAGGCCGGGAAGGGGAGCTGCTCACGCTGGGCAGAGGGCGCCCGGGGCTGGCAGAGCCTTGGGAGATGTTCCCCAGCAACGTGGGGAGGAACGGGGTAGGAGCGGGTGTGAGGAGGGGCCCGGGGACCCCGAGCAAGGGCTGGGCTCACGGGCCCTGACTAGACGGGGTTTCTGGAATCTGCTGGCTCCACACACCTGCTGTCACTTGAACCAAGACCGGCCCTTCAAGATCACTCTGCCCGCCCCTAGCGCCACCGCCATCCAACCCCACCTGGACCCGCTGGGGGAGCCGAGGATGACCAGACAGAGCCTCAGCCTCCACCTCACACCCCTGGGGGGGCTTCACCTCTCAGACTCGCTCCTTGTCTCTGCAGGGAGAACGGGGAACCACTTTTTTCAAGGTTCAGAGCCCTGGCGTGTTACAGGTCCAGCTTGTTCAACGTTCGTTTGCGGGGCAGTGGCAGGAAGACAGTGCTGGGCTGTGTCTCGTGCTGACAGTGACCAGTGAGGGGACCCCGTACAAGCCACACGGCGTCTCAGGCTCCCTCCCCTCGTCTCTGGAAGCAGAGCGTGGAGCAGGTCTAACCTGTGACGACCCTGTTCAGTAATCTCAGCTCTGATAGCCTTCGAGTAACCAGCGATCCCAGTGAGGACAGCACTGCTGTGTGCTGAGGACTCGACGGAAGGCACCTCACTCTACCGTCCCAGCGACCGAGGAGTCGGGCTTATTATCTCCGTTTTGTCAGATGGGTGAGTAACACTTAAAAACCTTCTGCCTGGAGCTTCAAATTTCTGCCTTGAGTGGGTGATGAGGTTGACTTTTCAATGCTCTTCCTGACGACTCCTTATAAACAGGGCATTTTCTTGTGTCGGACACAAAAATGGAAACCCTTTCACCCTCCAGGCAGCTGACCGGGGCGTCTCCCGGCCTGCGTGTCACTGTCACCCTGACGGAAGGTGCCAGTCCCTGTGCAGCCGCTCGCGGCAAAGGCCCGGGGTGACGTAGCCCCCGACAGCACCCCCGCAGGGAGGGGCGAGGACAGAGGTGGACTCTGTCCCTCCGCCGCTTCCAGGACTGACCCCGACGCTCCTGCGAGGCCTTGGGCTGCGGCAGGCGGGGCTGGGAAATCTTCCTCCCTTGCCCGACTCTCCCAACATCACGTCCGCAGAGACGGAAGAAAGCCTACGAAGCAGCTGCCCCTCCCCACGTGGCGAAGGCAGAAAGTGTCCCTGGGAGCCTTCAGGCGATGGCCTTGCATGGCTGGTGAGGGCTCGGGAAGAAGAGAGTGGGCCGAAGAGGCGTCCAGTGGGCCCGAGGTGCAGAGGTGGCCGCCCAGGGCTCCTCGGGCCCCAGCCACGGGCTGCCTCGGCCACGTTTTAACTTCATCTGAGCAAAGGCTGAAATTAGGCGGGCCTTGCACTTGGAGCCAAGCAGACAAAGTTAAAGGAAAGTGGATTCTATCTCCTCTGTGCTCCAGTGATCGATGGCTTCAAACAGCTGAGCGCCCTTCCTTTCAGAGAAGGGATACAGAGATGGACGGCCCAGGCTGTGATGAGCGCCAAAGGGAATGAGCCTTTCAGTCTGTTTTGTTTACTTGCATTTTAGCTCAAACTCCTGGTACCCTGGCCCAGTCAACACCGGGTAAAGGGGACCTGCATCTTCACCTCCAGCCTGCCCTGGACTGTGGCTGGAGAGATAGGGCAGGTACCCATTTGCGAGGCTGCCACGCGGGCCAGGAGCCCACGGCCCACGAATCTTCCTCCAGTTCCTCTGCCCAGCCCTTCCCACCCAAGGGGCTCCACTGCTCTGGGGTTCCTGAAGAAGCATCCTGCCCTCCTGGACAGCCAGGGGTGCACAGGTGGCAGGAGACAGGTGGGCCTGGGTACCTCTCACTGCAGCCCAAACCAGTGGGCTCGGCCTTGTGCCTCTGATCTCTGTGCCCAGCCAGGCCAAGGACATTCACTTCAAGGCTCCTGGGGTGGCCCCACGTCCCAGGTTCATCAGAGTCAGAAAAAGAATAAAGCCAGGAAAAGCAGAAAGAGTACGTGAAATAAATGGAAAAATCGAGACCTTTTTCTTCGGTCCTGCTTACCCGCTAAGGACACCGAGGACCAAGTTAAGTACAAAAAATGACCCTACGATGATTAGCGTGACAAAATAGATCCAGGGCCAGTCCCTTCCCACGGCATCATTGACCTGGAAGAACGGGACCACAGTTAGCACAGCTCCCAGAGCAGCCGAGCACGGCCCTGCCCACCCCGGGCCCGGCGCCGGCCAGGCAGCACCGGGACCGGGGCCTCTAGGTCATCAGAGGCCAAATGGCCCGCCCAGCCAACGGCCAGCCTCCTGGCTGAATGGAGACGTTTTCTGTTTCTCCTGGGCCTGGTGACGGATACAGCGGGACCTGGGGCCTTGCTCAGCTGCGTCATAAAGAGGACACAGAAATGGTCAGCTTACCCGCTCAACACACCAAGAACCAGATTTAGAACGAAAAAGGATCCAAAGATGACCAGACTGACAAAATACACCCAGGGTAACTCGTAGCCCATAGCGTCCTGCATCTGGAAAGATGAAGTATAGTTAGGAAAGAGAGAAGCAGGAGTGGGTCAAAGCAAGTGGGCAGGGAGGCAGGGAGGATGTGAGTAGAGGCTGGCGTGGGAGGCCACTGTCACTGGGCACCATCTTGACCCAAACACCCCGTGACCTTGACCTAAGCAAGAAGGGCCTGGGCAGGCTCTGCCTCGGGGGAATCTCGCCTGGCCCTCTCTGACCTTTTATTTTCTGGAACAGAATTTTCCTCCGATGTTATCTATTCAGTTGTCTAAGAAGCTGGGTCACCTCTAACGTGGTTCTTCCTACGAGATGGTTTTCGCTCAGCTGGGTTTATGTGGCCCCTGCGCCCGCCACCCTGGCCTCAGCTCTCAGGGACTAGCTGGGGGCTGGAACCTTCGGGCACACATGGGGAGGTGCCTTCCTCAGGGGGTGACCCCTGCGCCTGGAGTTTAGGGGGGACCGTGCTGCCTTATCGGCACCACAGGACTCGGGCGGGGGAGGACGGTTGTTCAGGCTGGACTCGGGACAGCTCCTGCGCCTGCAACTCAGGGGACCGTGGATCCCCGTGGGAGGTCGACGCCCCCGAGTTTCCAAATTCCTCAGTGCACAGGCTCCCCGAATGACCTACACCCGTGGTTCTCAAGGTGTTGTCGCTGGCCTCACCGGGGGACCTGGGAACGAGTTTGGAACTGCACACTCTGGGCCCTCCATCCACACTGGGGGCACCCGGCGACCACGTTCTCACCAGCCCTGCGGTGAGTCTGATGTGAGCCAGGGTTTGAGGACCGCTGGTCCACGGCCCCCAGCCTCCGAGGCAACGGCACGACAGAGGCTGTGATTCCCTGTACCCAGGTCCATGGGGCGGCTCGTGTGCCCTGAGAAGCACTGATTGGTTTTCGGTGCTGCCCCCGCGCGTCCTTTCCAAATCTGCTCTCGTTTACCCGGGGTTAGGGTGTCTCATTGAAGGCAGCTCCCCAGCGTGACCACGGGGCAGAGAGCACAGCTCTGTCCCGCCCTCGGGGTCGCCAGTTTGAGTCACGTAAGGAAAAGGTTCCCAACACGCGACTTTCCCAGGTCACAATTCAATCCAATGTAACGCAACTCTGTGGACGTCCTCGCTGCCACGCGGCCACTCTGTTTTCCACGCAGCACATACACTTTCCAAGTGTATAATCTACTCACTACTATGCATCGTTTGTCCTCCGTGCTGGGGTGCAAGTGGCATGAGGACGGGCGTTGGGTGTAGCCTGTGCCCCCAAGTGCCCAGAACAGGGCCTCATATAAGGCAGGTGCTCAATGAGGCCAGCCAGGTGGACAGACGGGCCCCCTCTGTGCAGGCCCTGCTACCCACGGGAGGCCCTTGCTGTAGGGGGACAGGTCAGTGGACGTCGGGTGGCGAATTCGGCTTCAGAGGTGCGTGTGCACAGCCACGGGCCTCTAGGAGAGGCTGCAGAGGCCGGTGAGGCCAGATCAGGCTGCCCGGGGGTGCCACTGAGGGGGGGTATAGGGCAGGGGCAGTAAGGCCGCCTGGAGGCCGCGTGGTCCTGCCCCAGGAAGGGGTTCCAGGAACTGGCAAGTGTTGGGACAGTGCCGGCAGCGTGAAGCACCCAGCACGATGGCGAGAGGAAGGCAGGGCACCGAGATCCGCGGAGTCAGAGGCTGCCCTGTCGCGGGAGCTGGGAGCCTCCTTCCTGATCCAAGGCTGCCGAGGAACCCACACAGGGCCATCCAGAGACGGGCTCGCTCCCAGTGCCAAGGGCCACCCTTGTGAAACTGCCCCCAGAGCCGGGCAGACGGGGATGGGGAAGGAGTGCTGGTGCCTCCGCAGCCCCCTTGGGGGAGATCTCCTCTGGCTGGTTCCTCGTGCCCTACATTTTTTTTTTTTTTTTTTGGTATGCGGGCCTCTCACTGTTGTGGCCTCTCCCGTTGTGGAGCACAGGCTCTGGACGCGCAGGCTCAGCAGCCATGGCTCACAGGCCTAGCCGCTCTGCGGCATGTGGGATCCTCCCGGACCGGGGCACGAACCCGTGTCCCCTGCATCGGCAGGCGGACCCTCAACCACTGCGCCACCAGGAAAGCCCCCTCGTGCCCTACATTTTGTGAACATTTAGCTCATGGAAAGTGCAGTCCTCCAGGCCACACATCTCTGATGACTCAAGGAACCCATGAGCCTCGGAGGCTTCCTGGGCCCCTATTTAGTTTGAGTGTCCTTTCCTCTGGGCCACAGTCAAGGGGTGAGGCGTCCAGCAGCACTAGGACCTCCAATGGATGGAGCTACAGACCTCCTGACCCCCAGATACCCACCCCACAGCCAGCCTCATGGAACCTCGTGACCCCTAGATAACCTCAGGACCTGCGGACACCCCATGAAGAGCCAGGGTCACGTCCAGGGGACGCATGGCCTCCACCTGTCCTTGTCCAACTCTTTGGTCTCCTCCGAGACTGTGGGCTGGTCTCTCCGAGGGTCAACGTGGGGGGCTGCAGGTGCAGGGTGGTGGGTGGAGGACAGATGAGAGGTGAATGAGCTCCTGGGGGTCCTAGGCCCCCTGCCCTGTGGCCCATGAGCAGCCAGAGGGGCCTCTGGGCCTGCCGGCCCTGGCTTTATACCTCCCTCCACGACCCCGTTTGCTCTGGGCCCCCTGCCCCAGGCAGCCTGGGCACCAGCGCATGTGCGGGCGGCTCTGAAGTAGGGCAGCGCCAGAGCGGGGAGACGGATGGCTTCACTCGGCACGAATGGAGCTATTAAGAAGAGAAGCATCAATAAAGGCATATTTAAAAAAAATGACCCAGATTGCTGACACCGTTATTTAGAGGTGAAAAAGGACAGGTCTTCTCAGAGCACTGAAGCCAGACGTTTCTCAGGCCCCTACGGGGAAGGGGCGCGGAGAGGCACCCCAGGGCCTGCCACCTGCAGCCCCTCGGCCCCCAGGCCGGCACCTCACGGGGTGACCCAGGCTTCGCTGGAACACACGCCTTACTCTCCCCCCACATCTAATTCCTAGAGGGAACCACAGCCTCGAGCCTCCAAATCCAACATCCATGTTTCCCCGAGAAGAAAATTCAGGAGGAGCGGTGGCTCCAGCCCCGTTGCCTCGGGGTCTCCCTCCATCCCAGCTGGTTCCCGGGGGCTTTCACGTCTGGCGCTTCCCCCTCTAAGGGCTGGGCACTGCGGGTCCCCAAAGGCTGAGCAGTTTGAGGGGCGCGGGAGGCTGTCACCTGCCGTCAAAGGCAGGACGTGCAGCCCGTGGAAGTCACGGTGCGTTACGGGGACTGTGCTCAGGGGGCAGGATCTGCTCTGTCTGGAAAGCCAGTGCCCTGGGCGATGGCCCAATGAACCCCTGACCTTTGTCACCTTGCCTGCGGGACGCGGGGTCCACCCACAGTCGCAGGGGCAGCAGCAGGTTGGCAAACAGTCTCGCCCGACACCTCCTGGCCCTGCTCGCGGCAGCAGGAAGGCCCGGATCTTGTGGGAGACGCCAGCAGGCCCACCACCAAGGAGGCCAACAAGGCAGCTCCTCCCGGACTCGGCCGGGACCCCGCAAGGAGCGGAGGCCCTGTGGACGCCTGTGCCCTGACGCTGTTGTCGCGGGTGGGCCCTGGCACGTGGTGAGACCGCTGGGTGCCAGGCTGATTCCTGGGTCTGTTAGGAGCCCGAAGCACCGTTCTCTCCAGCCAAACTGGTATAAAGCTGGCCTTTCCTTCTCTTCTGCTCCCCGCCCAGCTCAAGTCCAGCGACACCCCATCTCCTCTGACAAGCTCTCCCTGCTCTCGCCGAGCCCTGCGTGGGACCCATATGTCTCTGGGTCCCCATCTCCCCAATTACACCCAAACTCCTCGAGCGCGGGCCTGGGGACCTTGTAAATGCTCACGAAATGTTCAATTGAATTACTGAGGAATAAGGACTTGCCTAATGCCAGTGAAATGAATAAAACTAAACCTAGTAAGTAAATAAATAATAGCTTTGAGAGATGCAAATTCCCCTTCTTCAAATGTTTATAAACCACGGGTTTATTGTTTAGGTAACAGATCCTCTGTATAAAGCGCTGGGGGCGCTAAGTGGTAACGCTCTAACTCGGGCAGATTCAGGGTTCAGGACCAGAGGGTCCTGAGGAGACCTAACACATTCTCTGCCTGATCCCCATTCAAGAGCCCAGGATGCTGTCTTTGGGTTATTGGAGGGTTTTTCCTCAGCTTCTCATTTCCAATGACTATTAGGTCCTCAGGAGAACTCAGCCCCACCAGCTCTGCTTGCTGGATGCCTTCAGAGGCTCATTTCCCATATCTGTAGTGAAAAGAGGTGCAGATGAAACAGGAGAAAATAGGCTAAAACACCTGAATTTCTGCTTGGATGCAAAAGACCTTCGTCATAAACGAGGGATACTTCGGCAGCACCGAGACCAGAGATCAGTGGCCGTGGTGTGTATGTGTGAGTGTGTGTGAGCGTGTGTGCACGCGTGTGTTTACAAGGAATGTCCTCCCACACGGGTGAGTGCGGAGCTGACGACTGACTTGTGCAAAGTTTAAACCTTAAACTTTCATTCCCCAGGTCTCCTGTTGAACCAAACTAAGGCAGGTGCGACAGGAGACGCATCTTTCTTTTATATGATTTCTCATGAAGTATTCTTCCTAATCTTGTTTTAAGCTGAATTTCTAATTTTTAAAAACGAGTGGAAGAGCTGGTCATGGAGAAACCAACTGGGGAAACGGGAGGTGTCAGAAAGAGGGGGCCCGGGTGCCAGTGGAGGAGGTGACCCCAGGACGCAGGCCAGAGGGCTGCCCTGTGCCACACGGGATACAGCATCCCAGGGGCCCCAGGTCAGAGGGCATCGTGGGCAGAGGTCAACAGAATCCTCCTGATGGACGGTTGGTGAGGCACCGAGATTCCTAAAGCACCGGGTGCCTGAACCCCCGGTAGGAGCCCCCTTGCTCCCCCCAGGTCAGGGCCACGCTGCTGTCCCCACGAGCAGGGGCCATACGAGGCGGGTAGGAAGTCAGCGATGAGCAGACCCCAGCACATGCTGGTGTGACCTGGCTACACGTGGAGAGGGTGCTCAGATTTCACATGGACCCCAGCTCTTGGGCCGCATCTGAGAACCTACAGATTATCTCGGTTCAGGAAACCCGAGCCCCAAACACACAAGAAAGCAGCCTGGAGTGAAACGCCACCGGGTGGGGCAAAACACACTGGAGAGGAGACCTGGAGACGTGGCATCCACGGGGGACGGTCCGACGGGGCTTCCCTCTCTCACAAGTGCTCCCAGAGGCAGCCCACACCTTTCACTCCATCACTTTCCCCGCTATTCTTAAGAGGTGTGGACATTCTGAGAGTAAGCGGACAGGCTTTGGCTTAAGAAGCCATTTCCCAAGGAACTCCCACCCCCAAGGCCCAGCTCTGGCTTGGTCTCCAAATCCCCGTGTGCCCCCGCCCCGTCACCCGCAGACTCCTGGAACGGGCCACGGGGAAGGCAAGCGCAGGGGCCCGGGAGCCCGTCCCAGTGGGCGGTGTGAACAGCTGAGGAATCGTCCAAGTACTACTGCCCAGGCTTGCTCGTGCTGGCCGGCCACGAACCCTTCCAAGTCGGGAGCACGGGATGGGCTGATGGATTCACACTCAAAGCCACCCCAGGAGGAGCTGGGGGCCTGCCAACCGTCCCCCCACCCCGAGCCAGCTTCAGCGCTCCAGTGGCCTGTCAGCTCCCCAGGGATGTCTATCCAGCCGGTGGGTCCAGTCTCTGCGACACCTGGAGCCGTGGCTGCCCGTCCCCACGTCCTGCAGACCCGCCCCCGGGACTCGGGGGAGAACGCGTTCCTCCGAGTGGAGGACCCTGGGCCCACCCTCCACAGAAGCCGTCTCCCTAGCTGGGTTCAAGCCAGAGGCACCAAAGCAGCGCCGTGCGATTGGGAACGTTAGGCTGCAGGGGACTCGCGCTCTAGCTGGGATCTCCCAGGAGCCTTTGCAGGTGCAGGTGCTGGGGCCGGACTCTCAGCGTCTGGTCCCACGGCTGGGGACGGAGGGAGCGTGGGCCCCTCCCTGCGTAGAAAGTTCCGTGTTTTACACGAAAGCACGTGGAGGTGTGAGAGTCTCGGGGTTTGGAAGAGAAATCCTGAAGGCGAGGAAGGCGCAGGGGGAGGGAAGAAGGAAGGAGGAGGAGAGGCGAGAGAGGTGAGAGCCAGCAGAACAGTAGGCAGGCAGGCGCTTTGGGCTGGGCGGGGCTTTCCTTGAGAACACCCGCCAGGACGCTCCGTTTCGGGGTGCGTGTGTGTGTGTGTAGGTGTGCGTGCGTGAACACGTGTGTGCCCCCACATACACACACGCGCACACGGCTCGGCCATTTAGGTAAGGTCAGGGCGAGGCTGTCCCACGGGCCTGGGACTGCCACCTCAGACACTCCCTACTCCCGGCCCAAGCTCGTCACCCACCCACCACCCGCAGGGGGAAAAGCACAACACAGCTGCTGAAAATTGCTGGTTGCCACGCGTGCTCCTTCGCAGCCCCCATGCTGGCTGTCACCGTGACAGCGCCTCCTTGGGTCACATCTGGCTGGTGGGGGGAGAGGGAGGGAGGGATGAAGGAGGATCCCAAAAATACATCAGGGACAGCAGCAAAGTAAATTATACCTATTCCCCTAGCCCCACACCCACCCACCCACTGCCACCCTGCCCTCAACTGGATGCTATGGGAGGCGTTTCCATAGCAACTTGAGGCGCGGGTTTGAAGCTCATGTGATGAGGCTCCAAAGCCCAGTTCCACACAGTCATGCGTCCTATGCTGCCCGTTTGCAGAAGGGTGTCTCTGTCCTTGGCTGGCCAGAGGGACTCACCCAAGATAGAAGGACCCGTTAGGGCCGCTTTTGAATTCGATCTGCTTTACTAAACGAAATTAAATTTGCCCAGGTAGAGTAAGCTCAACGCCCTTTGTCTCACAAATTATCCAAAACCGAGTTCTCATTGAGGATGAGCCTGGGAGATGGGCTCCAGCGTTCCACCTCAGTTTCAAGGAGGAGGGATTAGACACTTTGCCTTTTTGGAAAGTGTCACAGCGTGGCCACTCTACGGGGCTCTAGCGGCACTGCGTTGTTCAGTTTAGGTCTAGTCAGCTTGCCTACACTGAGCTGCATGTTACTGTGTCTGAGTCCCGAGGACCTGGGCACCCCCGGCAAGCAAGGAATGCTCAATACTGTCTGTGGGGTACAAGGCACGAGGGCGAGTTTCAGCTGGTCCTGCACAGAGACGTACACATTTCACGGCAGCGCTGGGTCTCAGCCTGCCGACTCTACCCCAGAAGCTGGGAGAAGAGGGCTTTTGAACTGTTGAAAAACAATTTAGAAGCTTCAATGCCCAGAACGCGCAAAGCATCTCTGAGCCGTTCCAGGACTCCTCCTGGTCCGGGAGGAGGTCCATACCTCTCCTGGCACTAGTTCTTCCCAGTCTGGCAGCTCGGCTTGCTGGGAAGGCATCCACACCCCTCTCCCTCCCAAGCAGCCTCTTAGACCGTTTTCAGGACGGCCAAATCCATCTGACTACTTGCAAAACTCTGGTTGCGATGGTATTTTCAAGCCTGGCAACAAGCATTTTCCACCCAAATGCTGGAGCACAGCACTGGGCTCTAGCAAGTCAGTTCTCACGTGGAAGCAGGAGATACCACAAAGAATTACATCTTCTGGAGTTTTTACAAATGATGGACCTGACTCTGCCAGAATGGAGACAGACCAAGTATGACGTGTTTGCTTACGGGGCAGAGGCTGCGAACATCTGGCAAAGCAGTGCTGGCTGCTGGATGATAAAGGAGCATCTTTAAGGTGAAAGGAGACTTGCTGCTGAGTGGCTGGCACTCGAGAAGTGGCATTTCTGAATAAGCATCGCATAACCAGCGGAGCGCTTTGTCAGCAGTGAAAAGGATGGCAATGCATTTGTCTGATGGACTATTCTGATATAACGAGATTAGCACGGGAAATAGAAACATGATAGCATGCCATGATGCTACACGATTCAATAAAAGTGGTTTCTTCTTAGAAGACCAGGCCTGGGTTTTATCTTTAGCCCTAGAAATTGAACTCTGTGCCCTTCAGCTCTGTTTGGGGGGCAGAGGCAGGACACGGATGGGAACAGAAGGAGCCCTACAAGGGAACAGGAGCTGAGGACCCTTGGGTCAGGATCGGCCGTGTCCCCACGGGGCTGCGAGCCAGCGTTTCTCACTGTGGAGGACAAACGAAAGGTGACACTTGTCTTGGGCTGGTGGGCAGAGAGAGACTCATTAGGGTGAGAGTCTCAGGCTTTGTTTCTCAGGCAAGACCTAGAAGAAATCGAAGGCCCTCATCGGCCGTTCCACCCCGGTATGCGTGTGACCACATCACGGGAAGACGGAGAAGGTGGACGTCAAGGAGAAGCCGGCAGTCTGCGGGCTCCCTGCCCCCGCCCGTTCCCAGCACGTACCCAGTAGAGGACGTCGGTCCAGCCCTCCATGGTGATGCACTGGAACACGGTCAGCATGGCGAAGGCAAAGTTGTCGAAGTTGGTGATGCCGTGCTTGGGCCCATCCCAGCCCGGCTTGCACACCGTGCCATTCTGGCACTGCCGCCCGTGGCCCGTCTCCAGGGCACAGGGGGAGGGGTCGTCTTCTGCTGGGACATCTCAAATTGCGGGGGGAGAAGAGAAGGAAGCAGGGGGTGGGGGGAGAGGGACGGGCAGAGAAAGAAGAGAGAAGTTAGAGAGGAAAGTGATGGGCGAGGCTGGTGGGACAGCAAACGACCCCAGCGGCAACAACGCAGAACACAGTTACATCAATGCCCCAAACACGAAGCGAACGACACAAGGCACTAGGTATTCATTTTGTGTGGTCGTCAACTTAGAAGGTCAGTGCTTTCAGCTAATTGTTGTAAAACTGTTTTTTAACCTCAGTCATTGAGTTCAGAGACAGGAGGGCTGTTGGCTGTCGAATGAGCAATGAAGACATAACTATGATGCAACCACTCTGAGTGTGAAACATCCCGGAGCGCGGCAGTGAGTCCTCGTCTTCTTCTTTTGGTGGTTAAGTATCTGTAGAAACTTCCGCTGGAATGCCAGCGTTTAGGGCGAGGGCACTGTTGACTGGAAGGCTCTTTCACGTGATTGGCCAGAGATCCCGCCCAGTGATGTTTTCTGACTCCACATGGGTCTGTGACGTATTACAAGATGCTTTACCAGGGATGCAAGTCACTTTACAGTGGGTGCCCTCTTGATGAAGGAAGGAAAATAAATTCTGATGGCGGGAAAAGTACCTACTGCAGAGCTTTATCCCAGCCCCTGAGCACAAACACCACTGCGGTATTTTGTGCATGCTGCGTGCAAACTTGTGGACCGCCTTTTTCTCCAGCATTAGGACCTTTAAGAAGAGAAGACCTGTCTTGACCTCTAATCAGGACAGAGCAGCGTGGGTGATGGGGAGGGCGCTCCCCAGGTACGGAGCGCTCTCGGCTTTTTCAAGAAACAGCATAACATACCCCACGGCCGCAGGCTGTGCTCGGGCCAGGAACAGCTGCTGGGAAATTAGTGAGTTAAGATATTTGTCGTGCAGAGATCGTTGGTAAATTGAACTAAGACTTGGCTGAGTTAAGAATTTCCATTTTGGTAAAATACTGAGAGTCCTGGTCCCAGCTGCGGGAGGTAACAACGTGGAATTCACTGAAGTTTGTGAAATTAAGGACATCGTCTTATGCTTGTAGGAAGAAACGGTAGTAAACAGAATGGACCTTAATTCTAACAAACAGATGACTGCCTCCGACTTCAGTGAAGATGTGCCCCCGAGAGAGAATTTGTTTGTCATCCCTCGTTTGGGGATTCCAGGCCACCAGGGATCTCTCTGGTTTCAAACGTACCCAAGCAATCACGGGGCAAGGGCCTCTGTACAGAGACTGTGGGTTGCTGGGCTGTTTCTCAGTTTGTGGCTTCAAATCGCAGCTGTTCAGGAGGAAGACAGCAGAGGAATATTAATCCTTAACTAAGGGGTGACTCTTAGGGAGGTGGACTGAGCTGAGTGGTTGGAGACACATGCTGACTTGTGTCCTCTCGGCTTTTCCCTTTCTCTCTCTTTTTTTTCTTTTTTTTTAAAAATTAATTAATTTTTCCTACATCTTTATTGGACTATAATTGCTTTACAATCGTGTGTTAGTTTCTGCTTTATAACAAAGTGAATCAGTTATATATATACATATGTTCCCATATCTCTTCCCTCTTGCTTCTTTTTTTTTTTTAAATAAATTAATTTTATTTATATATTTTTGGCTGCACTGGGTCATTGTTGCTGCACACGGGCTTTCTCTAGTTGCGGCGAGCGGGGGCTACTCTTCGTTGTGGCGCGCGGACTTCTCATTGCGGTGGCTTCTCTTGTTGTGGAGCACAGGAGCATGGGCTCAGTAGTTGTGGTGCCTGGGCTCAGTAGTTGTGGCACACGGGCTCAGTAGTTGTGGCTTGTGGGCTCTAGAGCGCAGGCTCAGTAGTTGTGGCCCAGGGGCTTAGTTGATCCGCGGCATGTGGGATCTTCCCGGACCAGGGCTCGAACCCGTGTCCCCTGCACTGGCAGGCGGATTCCTAACCACTGCGCCACCAGGGAAGTCCCTCTCTCTCTTTTCAACAGCCTCACCGAAATATAATTTACATGCCGTACAATTCATCAGTGAACACGGACAGCTCAGTTATTTTTAGTAAATTTATAGAGTTCTCCAGCCATTGCCACAATGCATTTGGAAACGCTTCCGTTGCCCCAGATTCCCGAGGCCCTTCTCCCATCCAGCCCTGGCAGCCACACCTGCTGTCTGTCTACAGACCTGCCTGCCTAGGAATCTCATATCGACAGAATCACACACGAGGTGGCTTTTTTCACGTAGCATCGTGTTTCGAGATCTGTTCCTTTGCACGGCCGTACATATTACTGTGCGTTTATCTGCTCGCCCGCTGATGGACAGCTGGCCTGCTTCCAGGCGGGGGCCATTGCGAGCAGCTCGGCTTCTGGCTTGTTCCGGGCCTGGTGGTTTAGGTTGTGTGCCTGTGTGATGACCAAGGCGCTCCCTGGTCTCTGAACTGTACGGGGGACAACAGTGTCCCCATCATTTCCTACTCTGGGGTCTAACCCCCAGGAGGCCTCCATTCACGTAACGGAACTCCAGTCATAGTTTTTTGTGACTTTTGACATTTTGAAATCTTTGGAGATTTGGATGTGAGGTTAAGTAATGGGAGGCTATAAAAGGATGGAACCTGAAAAGTGAATCTCAGACCTCAGGAATACATGAGAAAGTGGAAAACAAGCACCTAAAAATTGGGAGTAGGTAGACTGTCAGGCCAAGAACCAAACAGGCCATAAACTCTGCTGGGCCTCACTTGCCTAGTGACCCGCTTTCTAGAGTGACGTGTTCAGTCACTGTGACAGAAGTGCTGGGATGATGAAAGATGAGACCAAAGAGAAGGTGAACAAAATAGAGGGAAACTCGTGTTTCTTTTTCTCCGGCCTTGCTTTCTAGTGCAATAAAGGTGTTGCTAATCTCTGCACTATGACTGCTAATCTGATAGTCCCCCTGCATCTCAGTTCCTGAAAACAGGCCGAAGTGAGGAAAAGGTGAAGGCTGCCAAACGGAGTTCTGAGTGTCCTCAAGGAAGGAAAACGTATTTGAGGGGCTTTACAAATGTATGTTGAAAAGAAAACGGCGTCCAGGGGACGTGATCTCATTAATAAAAGAGAGAGGATGAGGTTCAGAAAGATGGTCTACAGGATCAAGTGCCACTCTGCTATTTTAAATCTGTCTTGAGCAACAATAAAAAGAAGATTTGAGAACAATTAAGGGGCAATAATTATCTGGTAAAAATAGGTATCTATAAAAAGCACTAAAGGGAACACCCGACAGGTGTGAGCACACACAAATCAGTGGGTCCTGGCGACATGCACTTGAGGGTGAGGGGAAATTAGCTTGAACGTGAAGACGTGTTGGAGTCTCAGCAGAGCCGTGAATTCCCAGAGAGGAAAATGGGAACACGATGTTGGAGAAACAGCCAAAGCCATACGGGCTCCCCATTGTAAAGCAGAAATGAAGAGAGGTGGGGTCATTCTGGAAAGTCCAAATTAAGTTTGTGGTAAAAGAAATGGAGGCACAGATGAGGAGGGAGTTTGGAAGTGCAGTTAATACCCAACGAGAGCACGAAATCTGGGAGAGCACCAGCGAGGGCCTTCAAGAAGAAATCACCAAAGACAAAACCAATGACTTTTTTAGGCCCCAACTTTAAGGAGTGACTAGATTGAACGTGATTTCATTTCTGGGTTTCAGCCAACCAATTCTCTGCCAGTCTCAGGGGTAATTACTGTGCTTGGGAGAGCTATGCAGAGTGACCTGGCTCGGACTGCGACCAAACAGATGGGACGACCAGAAACAAAAAGGACGGACATATGGTGATGTATCTGTTGAGGAACAAGGGAGGCGCCTTGCAGATGCCTCCGGGATCGGGGGACATCTCCTCTCCTGAGACCACATCTGCAGGGGCTGGAAGGGGCAGCCTGGAGGCAGAACAATGGTACACCGGCAGCTCCAGTGCTTTCTGGTATGGATTTGATAGGAAGCATGGCTCAAAATCCAAGGTACCCTAAAATCTACGAGTTCACAAAAGAATCCCAAAGTGTAAAAATAATCTGACGTAAATTCCATAAAAAAACCAAGACGAGGACTCACAAGCGCTTTTGCATAATCTAAGTTTGCAGAAAAATAGAGGAATTCACTCCAAAGTCTAAAATTAAAAAAAGACACCCATTCCAAAGGTGATGCAAACGTCTCCAGAACGCGTGGGGAGTGGTTTCAAAGATACGCTCCGGCCGTGCTGAGTGCGTCCGGATTCCCGTACACATCCCTCTTTGTCAGCGTTGATCAGTGTGTAGATGGAAGGGGCCCCCATAACACGAGAAGGTCCCTGGACGGCCATCAGACGCGGTTCAGATGCAGGCAGTGAGTGAGCGCCTGAGTGCAGGGTGCTGGGCGGAATGGCCTCTGCAGCGTGTCCTGGGCGTCCTTCCCGCGGGAGGCCGGCTCCACGCACAGAGAGGTCCCTTCCTGGCGGGGCTGACGGGGCTCCTCTCTCGGGAGCGCGTCCCCGGGGTCTGTCCTCGGGCACCCTGTCTCCCCGGGCTGATGGTGTTTCTACAATGGGGGCCAATTCTCTTCCGAACCTGGTGGGGTGGGGTCGGGTGGAGGTAAACCCATCACATAAATAACCCAGGCTTTTTCTGGGAGGAATCAGGAGGTGTCTCGGGTGCGTTTCCTGGTCTGCTTACCCTCAGGGATGGACAGTAGTGTGTTCCCAGATTGGCCATCCACTCGGCCAGGCCAGTTCTGCTCTGTTTCTTGAGAGCACGGAGGCTGCGGAAGGTCTCGGCAGGCCTGTGGCAGCCATTCCTCCAACCACCCCCATCTGGCACAGAGGAGCCCCTCACCCTGTCCATCACGCCCACCGTTTTCTGGCTGTTTGAGGCCACTGAAGGCAGGACCACAAAGTCAGAGACTTCCAGGCGGTGCGGGCACAGCCCCCGTAGGATCCTGCCGACCGCGGAAAAGCCATTTGACTGCTTCCCCGTCGGGTGGCAGAGACAGGGGTGGTGTGGGAGCAGCTCTCCCGCTCAGCGAGGACAGACGCGTGGAGGCGCGGCCACTCAGCACAGAGTCTCACCGCATCTCCCCACCACACCTTGGTGTGCAGGTGAGAGCCACTGCACCGCCCATCGCCCGGCTGATGGGGCCTTTCGGACCCGGCATCCCCGCACTGGCCCGAGGAGTCTGGGTCAAACGGGCCGTTGGCCATTTCAATACAACGGCATAAATTTTAGACGTTCTGTGGTGGCTCTGAAGCAGGTCTTAGAACGAGCTCTAAGGAAGCCACACAATTAACATAAGTTTACTGTTTCTGGGCAGCTACAGGTCGAGCCCAACAAAAGGAAGGATCTGAATTAAAGGGGAGAATGTTATTCATTGCATTATTGGGTATTTCTTTAAGCAAGGCTGGAAATCTCAGCATTTTAACTAAAGTCAAGATCGAATTCCTTCAATTTTAAAAGTTTCTTTTTTTAACGTGACAGTTTATTTTATATAATATGACCCAAGAAATTCTCCCTACAGTGAAGAAATGGTCTCCTCTTAGACTTGCCATCAAAGAAGTAGAAACAATTGCGTGAGTCTGTGACTATAGGTTTACAGTTTTGGGTTTTTGTTTCGACTGTGGCCACGTGCAAACACCCGGCCAGTGCGTCCAGATCACTCAGATCAGGGGATCCATTTGGTTTCTAATTATGATTAATCCATTTCACTGCCTCCTGTATGGATGCTCTCCCCACCCCCGGGGAGGGGGGCCAAGTTTAATTTACTGCCTGGGCTGAGCGGGAGTGTGAAGCAGTGGACGCGAAGGGGAAAGAAGGTCTCGCAATGCTTCAGACAGATGCTCCCCTTTGTGCCCTAAGGTGCCAGAAACTAGGATGAAAGATGTTGTTGTTTGGAAAAAAGTCACATAAGTCGAACACGGCTAACCCCGTGCAGGGGTATTTTTTTTTTAAACGAGTTTTTGTGTTAAACTACTTCGTTTAAAAGCCGTGTTGATCTCTGTTTAAATGTTTTCTTAAAGGTCCAGCTGAGACTTCAGTAGCTGAAGACAGTAGTTTGTCGCATGTCGGTCAAGCCCAAAGTCCAGTCCTACCGGCGAGAGCCCAGCGAGTAGCACAGCTCGTTGAATGCGCTGATTTATGGAAGGGATGCAGAGAGAGTGTGTCAGAGAGGACGGGCCGGTGGATGCCCGAGGTACAGACACACCTCCTGGAGGAAAAAGAGTTTTCCTGCTGGCCGTCCTCCCCTCCTGGACTGGGGGCCCCGGACGGGAGGCAGAGACACCGAGACGGACGACCCAGGGCTGTGACGGGACAGCCACCAGCTGAGGGCGAGGCCTCCCCCCGAGGGCACTTTGGTGACAAGCTACACGGGGGACAAGGGGGCAGACACATATAGTCCCCAGGTTAGCTCCGATTCTTAAAATATTCATTGTTGGCTAGGCGCCTCGTTTAAAGAATGCTTAGCAGTGCCGGACAACACTCGTGTTTAGCTATTTTAACACAGACTCATTTTAGTAAAAACAAAAATTAGAACCGAGAGAAAAAAAATACAATCTTTGCCTCTCCTGGCCGTGGAAACGCAGGTGCTCGACGGCAGGGTCTCCCCAGCTGGCCGGGGGTGGACGGCGTTCCCCTTACCTGCGATGCCCTCCTGGTTGTAGCAGGTCTTGTGCATTTTCCCCATGAAGAGCTCCAGCCCGATGATGGCGTAGATGATAATAACAAAGAGCACAAGCAGGGCGATGTGCAGCAGGGGTACCATGGCCTTGATGATGGAGTTCAGAACCACCTGGAGACCTGCAACGGCAAAGCCGACTCTGTGCACCCACCGCTACTTGGAGCTCACGCCGTCTGCCGTGACCCTCTCCCCGCCGACGGGTCTCGCACCCCAGTTTCAGGTAAGGAAACCGAGGCGCCAGGTTACACGGTCAGAGAGACACCCCGGGGGAGCTGGATCCAGGTGGGCCTGACCCCAAACCTCCCCAGGAGCCACCTCCAGACGGAAGGACAGGAAGATGCTGTCCTTCTAAGGGCATTTCAGTTGGGGAAGATGGAAACAGTCCTAGAGACGGATGGCGGTGACGTTGGCTTCGTGCCACTGAACTGTGCACTTAGACGTCAAACGGGACATTTTGGCTTGCATCTATTACCACAATAAATTGTTTTTCAAGTACCCAGGTCCCTTCAGGGAAAAAAAAGGGTAAATAAAAAACATTCTTTCGCAGCCGGTCTTGTCTGCACGCCCCAAGGGTCTGCAGACTTACACCACTGTCTTCTGGGGAGACGGACCCCTCAGTTATAAGCTGAGCCATAAATACCAACCCAGAATGTCGCCTGTTTAAACGAGATGTTGCACACGGTCATTGTAAATGGCAGTTACCCTCAAGCCCCCAGGTCTACCCCAGGCCCCAGAAAGCCGTCCGTCAATGGGTGGGTGCTGTCTCCACGCCCCAGGAGGGAAGTGGGGGAGGGTCGGGCTCCCCCTCCCCACAGCAGGGGCCTGCCTTAGACACAACACAGCAGGACCTCCTCCTCTGAGTCACCCCCCGCGGGCCACCTTTTGTGTCTTTCACCCACCAGCCACGGACACCCTTCCACCTCTCCCGCACTGCGGACGTCACCCCTGCTCACCCATCGCCCTCGGCGCTGGCGAGTGAAGGCTGGGCACCCTGACCCCAGGCCCCGAGGCGGTCCCCGGGCCTTTGTGACCTGGAGGAGTGGGGTTCACAAGTCCAATTCGGAGAACTCGCCCCAGCCATTAAGCTAAGCCGGGGAGAGGAAACCAAATAAGAGAAATGCTAGAATAATTTCACCTGTGAATTAATGCGAGGGCTCTGCCACCTCCCAGTAGAACAAGATGCTTTCAGATCCAAATGACTCGGTTAATTAGCAGGTTGTACACACATCTGGTGAAGGGTGCGGAGTCACGGAGGAAGCTGACAACCCAGCCGCACAGCGACTTTTGGGGTGTCTGCTGGGGCGCTGCTCACGGGAGGAGACGGAGGTCCCCGGATCCGGCTGCCCAGACCACGAGGGGAACGCAACCAGGCCTTCAGTGCCACGTGGCAGAGAATGGGGGGGCACGGGATGGGGAGACCTCCTCCTGCCCTACAAGGCCCTGGGCGTGGGTCGACCCTGTCCCCCCGGCCCTTGTTCTCTGGACTCCTGGTCAAACAGTGTTTCTTTCAGACTCAAACGTGCCATCCTTCGACGCGGGGCCATTGTCGGCGCTGTTCCCTCGGCCTGGAACGCATTTCTGTAATTCCCTCCAACGTTCCCTTCTGCTCTCAGCCCAAGCGTCCCTCCTCCGGGGACCCTTCCCCAAGCTCCCAGGGCAGAGACGTCTCCTTTCTTACATGTCTTCTTAGAATCAGTTCCTTTGCTTTGGAGCGTGAGTCTCCCTTTGGAATTACATGTTCATTAAGTGGCTTTCCAACATTTACACCCGGCTCCCACGTCAGGCTGAGTTTTGTGAACGCGGAGACTGTGGGCCCTTCTGGCTGTTTTATCGCTGAGGCAGCTCTGCAAACAGACAGGCGACTTTCCCGGGCCTGCAGGCCGGGCTGCGGAGAGGCCCAGAGGAAGTCGAAGCAGCCCGTGCTTCTGTCCACCGCTGGGGGCCATCAGAGTGGCCGCCGGACGCTCTGCTCCCTGCCATCCCCTGGGGTTGGTGGCCTCACCACACCCCTGAGCACCAAGGCCCGATCTGGGCCCCCAGGCTCCTTCCTCCCACTGTTACCAAGTCCTGCCAATTTGCTTTTGAAGTGTTTTACACAAGTATAAATACCGTTTACTATGTAAATAATACATGCTCATTACACAGGAGAAATGCTTATTATAGAGAGATTAGAAAACACAGGGGAGCAGGAACAAAAAGAACTCGTCCGTCGTCCCACCGCCCAGAGGGGACCGCTGTGAGCCTCGCGGGGTATATTTTGGACACTTTGGCCCCTGGGGTCGGCTACTCGGTGAGCTGGTCTCCCTGCCATCTGGTGTTCATGCCGCTGTTGGGATGCTCAAGCAGAGAGTGTCATGTCCTTGGCGCGAGTCCTCCTCCGATGCCCTGTCACCCGCCTCCGCATCCAGCCTGACGGCCCCTGACTCTGGCTCACGCCTCACTCTCCAGCCACAACTGAGCCCCGAGCTTCTTTGGCCACAGGCCTCCTCGCGTCAGCACAGGCTGTTCCCCCAGCGGACGCTGTTCCCTGCCTGACGCACGGCCCCGGCCTCACGTCCTCTCGTCTGTGGCACACAGCAGGGACTCTGCATGCCGGCTGCCTTCAGGAAACCACTCCATTCAAGGATCTTCAGGAGACACCGAGGTGTGTCATCGGGAAAAGGCCGACTCGCGGAGTAGGAAGGGCACAGGCACGGAGGGGGCTGTCAACGACCTTCACAGGATTTAACCTGCTGTTCTGGGGAAGAAGAGCTGGCAGAATTCAGCGTAACTATGGGGATGGAGCCAGGACCAATCAGGAAGATTTAGGTTCAACACAAAGACTGTCCAAGAAACAGACCTAAGGTGGAGCAGGGTGCTCCAAGAGGTAGTGAGCTCCCCGTCCTCAGAGGGATAAGAGCAGCGACTGAATAAGCTCTTGGAGGAGGAGCCTTGGTGGGGATTCAGCCAGTGGGTAAAGGATAGCCTCGGAGCACCAAAGCCCCCCGCCCTCATCGACCTGTAATGAAGACTTATTGGGGGCAGGTGGATGACCCCAATTCCCCTGGCACAACCTGGGTAAGTAGGTACTGTCATTAACGGTATTTACAGAGGAGAAGCGTGAGTTCTAGAGAGGTTAAGGGGCCTGCCCATGACGTCACAGCTGCTGGCAGGGGTGGGCACAGGGCTTGGTGCCTCGTGGCCTGACTCCAGGCCTGGGGCTGCACGACTGGGCTAAACGCCTCCCGTGGGCCCTGGCCCGGGGCTCTCGGCCTCCATGATCTGCATCTGTGAAGCAGTGGCACATGATCACGACATCTGCTGGGCAGGCGGGGGGCTCATCCTGCTGCCAGGGGGCGCCCCGCGGCCTCCGAGGCCCTGGCCGCCATCCTCACCGCCGGCCCGGGTCGGCACCCCAGAGCCCCCCCGCACGTAACTGGCTCTCAAGGCCTGCGTCTCAATGGCTCCTCCTCGGGCGGGCTCACAGAAACAGCTGTGCCCCCGAAACAGCTCCTTCTGTTCCCATTCCCCTCAGAAAACACAGCGGCTTCTCCGCACCCAAGTGCTCTCCTCTGACGGGCCAGGGACGGGACCCCCGCGGGAGCCCTGGGGCCAGGCCAGCCTGGTAGAGAGCTGCGGGAAGGTGGCCCGTGGACACGAGATCACTAAGGGCTACGCCCACCGTGAGCCTGTGTTCCGGGCCCTAAATCAGGGCGTGAGACCAGACAAACACACGTGGACTTACGGGGACAACAGGACAGGGTATTTCGTGCAAGAACAGCGCTGGAAGATGTCGTTCTGGAAATCCAGTCTCTCATTTGCAGTCTGTGCAGGTGACCTCCTCTTAGGGGATGAAACACCCTCCCGCCCGGGAAGCCCGGCTGCCAGGTCTTCCAGGGAGAGGGGGCTCTGGGGAGTGGCTTCGCTAGATGCTGGGATTAGGGAAGGACGGAGAAAAAGCAGAGCTGGCACGCACGGCCTTTCCTCTTCTCCCTCCACGTTGCTGTAAGGCCTGGACCACTGTCTGCATTCCTGCTGTGCTCAACTTGAGAATTCCAAGTTAGGAAAGACTTAGAGGGTCTGTGTACGTAAATCATGGTGTTTTCCCTTAGAAGATCAAGAGGAACCATCAATTATGGAAAGCAGGCCTGGCACCTTCCTTCAACAGTGTTGAGATTGGCCTGGAAACGTTGGCTACAGGTGATGCTGGCCCATGATGGATGCATGGCTGAGGGCTCTTCTGTTTCATCAAGGAGCATCTCGCCCAGCCCTGCTCTGGTGATGGGTTGTTCCGCTCGGGCCCCAGGGGTAGAACCAAGAAGGAGGGTGGCAATGACTCGATGAGCAGGACCCCGAGAAAGGAGGACAGTGAGACTCGTGGGGCTGAACGGCGCATGCAGGTGTGTCTGAGGCAGAGTCGGGCTTGCATTGAACTTCCAAGTCACCTGGTGTAAAGGGGGACGGTGACCCCAAATCAGAGGTCTTTGCAGATGTTGTTTGATTTCATTGTTCAGATTCTGCGTGGACTTAGAGCTTCTTGGCTGGCGGCTACGAAGGCACATTTCATGTCCCAGTTATTCGGACACCACGGTTCCAGCCAAGTGGTAGGAAAGCATTGAGAAATGACCGAGGAGGCCTGATCACAGCTCCACAAGGGAGTGATAATGAGAATCACTGAAGGGGGGTGAGTCTGGGCTCGGCAGGATGGTGGTGGGTACAAGCTTCTCACCGATGGGGGCTAAGTTGGCCAGAACAGGAGGAGGACGCTGGGGCCACCGGCCTCGATGCGCACATTTTCACTTACACACGGTCATCTGTTGAGCTATGTTCCACGGGCCACCTGCTCCCCGGGGTCACGGGCTCTTTCTTGTAAAGGAGGCCAAACATGAATCAAAGAACCTCACAATCAGTACAGAATCTCAAACCACTTGAGTGCTTTTGAGGAAGAGACAGGGTGTCATGAAGGCCCCCATGTGGCTGGAGGGCGGAGCAAGGTGTCCTCTGGGCAGTGACACGTGAGCCGGAGGCCGAGTACGAGGTGACGAGGACCTGGCCGGGGGGGCAGCAGGTGGGTCCAGCAGGGGGGCTTGTGCTTCCCCACGGAGAAGGCCGTCTGCCCGGCTGAGCAGGGACACCTGGC